AAATTTGTTTACAAACTGGAACCATAGTTTCATTTTGGAAAGCACAGGAGGCTTGTTGGCCTGTAGCTAAAATACGACCGGTTCACAGCGGATTTTAGAGAGTAGGTGAATAATGAGAGGTTACAACAGATGGGACGGCGAGACTCTAATTTAGGGATGAGCTGGCAATTAGAAGCGTTTGAGCAATTTCAATTATTAGGCAATCAGAAGACAGCAAAACGTAAAAATATATTAAAAGAAAGTAATAATTTAAAGTGGATATTCTTCTTTTACATGATTTAAAAACTCGTATGTTAGCATCCTAACCCTCACCTAACCCTAAACCTTAACCCTCACCTAACCCTAAACCCTAACCGTATGTTAGCACCCTAATCCTTACCCCAAACCCTAACCTTACCCGTAAACCTAACCCTGACCCAATGGACGAGTTTCTATTCCATATGCATTGTGAATTCAGAACCTCTGAACCTTAATCAAACCTTAACAAGTTTTTAAATCATGTAAAAGGAGAATATCCACCATAATTCATTACTTTCATATAATATATTTTCACTTTATACTAACTTTCTCCTGATTGGCTGATTATTGTCAAGGTCACTTAAGATTCGTTCAAAGGTCGTCCCTAAATTAGTCTCGCCATAAATTCCACTTGTTGATGATTTGATAAGAAAGTCGATAGTCAGCTGGAAAGTAATTTGTTCTGGGCTTGTGAACTTTTTTGGAAGACAAGAAAAATGAGGACACATCATGTGTAAATTTATCACCAAGTAATTTGAAAACTGTAATCATATCATTTAATTCTTCGATATGACAATGGGAATAGGTTTATTTCAGCCAGTCGAGCATCATACATGAGCTTCTCTATTCCAGAAACCAGCTCAGTTGTTGTCCTCTAAACTTTTTAAAAAAGCTCAGTGTCTTTTCTAAGTAGGGGATAGTCGCTTGTATGCAGTACTCACGTCTTGGGTCACACGAACACTGTATACAAAGTTAAAAAGTCGGCATGATTAAACGCCTTACGTATTGACCATAGATTTCTAAAACCTTTGACGTATATCACATTGCGAAGTGCAGTAGTTTTGACTAACGATAACTCCCAAGTTATTGTGTGTCTGGACAACAGATAACTTGTAGCGGTAAATAAATCCCCAAAATAAATAGCTCTATAAATAACGAACAGCTCGTATATTCTCTAGATTCGCTCATAAAGAAAGTATTTTTTGTGGCCATAAATTGGCACAATCACGTATTACTCTTCATGTAATTTGTGATACCACACTCAAACCATCTTTGCAAAGTCAAAGCTGATCACTAAAAGTCACTACCTCGCAACCATGGGCACTTGTTTTCTTGATAATAGCATAAACAACTACAAACTCCTAGAATGTCCCCTAAATTGAAACGATTATGTCTGTGAGATTTTGCAGTGGTTACGTATTTAGCTGTAACGAAGTCATTGGTGGCCAATAATTTCATACGTAATAATGCTCTGTCACTGGTGATTTTGTTGAGTAACTTGACTTTCTGATAAGGTTGACTCATTAGCTAACATCCTCAAAGGATGCTTCATGACTTTTTATCTATTTTTTTTACTGTCAAGCGACACTATATATTTTGCTTTTAGCAGTCTTATCTTGAGGAAGTCCACAAACGTTTGGCGAATTCTCCCTGATCTGGAGAAATTTTGAGGTTTTTGTGCCATTTTATGCTCTAAATTTTTCTATGGCGGCTTCCCAAAAGTTTCTCAAAAATAGGAAGATTGAACCCCTGAAGACCACAGTAGATGAAAGAGGATTGTCTCCACTAATTGTTAATTTATTCGGTCGTACTTTGCGGTTTAGTTTTCATTGTCATAGTAATTTTCTGTTTAGTGATAATTGCTCAGCTGACAAAGTTCCGTAGGATGTCTTCTCCTGTCCTTGATGCGAAATTTCGTTTCGTCGCTGTTTGAAACCTTTCGCTCAATTACTCGCGTAACATTTTACTACACATTTGTTTGTCCACCTCATGGTCTGACGCCAAATATCTCATATATTTGTTTCAAATTCCATAACAAACCACACGACGACCGCAATCGATTACGTTAGAAGAGTGGTACATGGTTAAATACATGTATTACCAAGCTGCTACCTTGACGCGGTGGTCGGGCTTGCCTATCGTGATGACCCAACCGAGCTATATTGGCTGGAACACATGTTCCTCTAGGTTCTACCATGCCAAGCAGGTCAATTGGAGAACGGTAAGACTAAAAGTAGCAACTCAAGGTCTGAGGGAGAAGTCGTACTGCTGACTGTAGAGGGGTGTGACAGCAGTAGGGTGTTTCCCTCGGACAACCAGCATCTGCAGCGATGCTGCCTTCCCACAAGGAGGGGTGGGGTTAGAAAAGTTCGACCCTAAAAATGTCACACCTCACCTTACCTCACGGATTTCCGTCTCCGGCGGTAATGCCCTTTAAAGAACGGTGCTAACACATTAAAAACCTTTCACGAAAAGGCCGTGGGCGACCGGCCTCAAGCAGTTGTCCCTTGTGCTCTGCGGTCACGCTCCCAGGTCGTTAAGACCAACATTAGTCCGACTTCTTTTTGAGGTTCCTCAAGAAATACCCTTCCACGGTGTGGGCAGCCGGGAAGTGACATCAGCCCTCATACCCGTAACAACACACGAGACCAAGTTGGTCACATTCAAATCCTTCCTACACCTCCTAATACCACTCTCAGCAGTGAGATTAACTGAGGTCTTAGGTAGAATTTGGGAACTGAACGTAATCCCATCTGACTGGTCTCAATCACTGATTGTGCCAGTCTATAAGAAAGGACAAAAGTCCTCTTGTGACAATCACAGAGGAATCAGTTTGACTAATATAGTGTCTAAAATTTTAGCTTCAATAATACTTCGACGCCTAACTAAAGCTCGTGAAGAGCAGACTAGAGAAAATCAGGCTGGTTTTCGACCTGGACGTGGTTGTATAGACCACATATTCACACTACGTCAGGTTCTAGAACACAGACACACATTCAGACGCCCCACAATGGTAGTATTTCGCGACCTCAAAGCAGCATTCGACTATGTTGATCGTGAGGTTCTATGGCAGTGTTTGTCATTGAAAGGAGTACCAAAGAAGTACATTAACCTTGTAAAGGCTCTCTACTCGAACACAACTGGTCGAGTGAGAGCTTATGGCGAACTGTCATCAGAACTGACTACCTCAAGTGGTGTTCATCAGGGCTGCCCACTCTCTCTATTCTTGTTCAACTTTGTCGTCGACGTACTTTTAGAGATGACACTTTCCTCGTCTAGATTTCCAGGGGTTGAACTTGTACCGGGAGGTTCACTTGTTGACTTAGAATATGCGGATGACATGGTTTTATTTGGCGAAGACGCTGACAAAATGCAGAGTCTTCTGACCACTCTAAGCAACAATACAAGCATGTTCGGGATGCGATTCCCTCCCTCGAAATGTAGAATGTTGCTTCAGGATTGGGTTGCATCGACACCCGAACTAATGATAGGGAATGAAGTAGTTGAGCGTGTCGATCGCCTCACTTATCTTGGAAGTCTCATCAGCCCTTGTGGTCTGGCGTGTGACGAAATCTCAGCACGGATACACAAGGAGTAGGAGTAGATTGGCAGAAAGCTAGGGGCGGCCAGACGAAAACGTGGCACAAGTCCATGAAGTCACTGACAAGTAGACTGAGTCATGTTGGCAGGTGTAGACTACCTGGTTGGGGACCGCGAGATGATAGCAACCGATGGTTGGAGACCCTGAATGACATGGCTCAAAATCGTTTGCAATGGTGTGCGCAGGTGCATCCACTCTTTGTGTTCTCCCAAATTCTAATCTTCTGAATTCTTCATGTCCCTTTCTTTTTTATCTTTCCAAATTTATTTCACTGGATTATACTCTTTAAATAACATCTCCAAACCCTAATCTTCCCGATTACTGCTTATGCTCTTGTTACCTCTACCACTACGGGATTTGAATCGACAACTGCATCTCTGTGCTAAGGTGGTGTGGCAACTCGAACTGATGTACGTATGTACGAAGTTCTACGTTGTTACTGACTGACTGAATGCTCTGTCCCTATCGTGGAGATCGTTTGATAAGTTAATGTTACTAGCTAATTGAAGTATTTACTGAGAGGCATTACCTTAGTACTAAATAAAACGTTATGTTAGTACTAAATACAGTGTTAGAGTGATCTAAATAGTTAACTAACAGGTTGATTTAACCTTTATGTGAACAGAATGAATTTTATACGTTCGTAGTGATGCACTATCCCTCAAACAGTTAGATATCCCAATATACTTTTTTCTGTGTAAACAAATCATATGTTCCACCGAATAAGTCTGAGCATGTTATTCCTAAGATTTCTGTAACATTCTCTGTGGGAATTTCCACCTGGCCATGCATTTACTAACAGATCGTTTGTATTCATCTACAAACTAGTTACGAACATAGTTTACTCCTTCGATTGTTAACTCACTGAATTATAACTTTTAAAGCCTCATTTTTCATTCTGCTAATCCATTTAGATAGATAAAACTCCCATCTCTCAAGCTATTTATTTACTTCACGACATTTTCATTTACATGAATAGTATGATTGTTCTTTGAATACAATAGATCCTTCTTATTACAGTCACCTCCATTAAAATCGATAAGATATATGTATTTAGATTATTTTCACTACTTTGTAGACGGTAAATGTATATTTTAGGTAACTGAGTTCTCTGGGAGAATTCACCATCTGTCTTTATTATTATTATTTCAGCTTGTCATTTTCTTCTGACTTTCAATCTGTTACCTTCTAAAGAGTAAACTTGACCTCTGTTCTTGTTCAAATGCAAAAGGAAAACATGGACTCAAACAAACAAAGTTACTGTCCATAACAACAAAATGTCCTATAGGCACTTGATTAACTCTTCTATCCCAAAATTAATGGTATGTGGTTGAGCAAAACGGATGATCTTATTACATTCTTTAGTGCTGATTGACGTAACATGCTCAAAATTCCTGAAACAATGTCAATAAAGAAATTTAACTTGCCAGATTTTTCATATGGGGATGAGATTGATTATTATGCTGTATCACCAACAATATTGCAGTTAGATCACCAAGAGATCGTTGAAACAGACCATTCATCTGGCAATCGTCTATTGAATGGTGATTCAGTAACTGAGACAGCTACTACTAATTCAAATCTCGGTACGTATTGAACTATATTCAAACTGTTTATATTGGGATTTCTTTGTTGTTTGGTATTAACGCGTTGGTGGATAGGTTAATCCAGACAGAACAATACATAAATTAAATATTGTTTTACGTTCAAAACTGTTCAATAGATAAATGTTACCGTGTGATTCAAATGTACGGTGATAACCTTTTATTTACGACAGGTACTAACTCCAAGCATAGTTAAAATACTGACTTAATAGTCCTTAACTTTGACTCAACAATGAACTCAGATGAATCTTGTTTTTATCAGTTATTTTTGGAGAACATCAGTAATGGATTATTTTTCTGGAGTTTACCTTTGGATTCTGGACTTGCAACGATAAAAATACATGTCTAGACCTTACTGGATTCATAAAAGTCGCAGTATACAGGCTTATTCAACTGAGTTTGAACTTGAAATCCAAGGGAGTAAATTTAAAGCAAAACTAACAAAGTACCTAGTGAACATGAAAGTAATTTTCACAGTAAGATACCATGACATAATATATAAGCAAGAAACATCAATGGTTTCTGTAATCGACCTAGACCGAAAGGCAAGAAAATTGTACTTAATTAATATAAATACTCAAAAACTCACTCTACTGAGCTTCGAATATGATGGACATCGAAAGTAACTTAAGTGTAGTGGTACATATACAGCGATCTTAAGTAACAAAATCAAAGGGAACGAAAAATCCGGCATTGTTTAAATCCATCAAATAGACTAGGGTTAAAATATCCGTTAGTAAAACTATGATGGAAAACGACAACAGTAATCCGTTTTTAATCTGGACGATTAAAATGACAAAAGATTGACGGATAGCCCATTTGGCCTCTAGCTACTTATAATCCAACGACTTGAAAAGATTATTAAAATTGGGTTTCCAAATCTTAGCGGCTATGAAAACTGTCGTAGCCTTCTTCCAATGTCATTCAGTATTTCATGTCTTTACAATTGTTTGATCACTTGATAGTGATCAATGTCATTTGTGTAAGGTCCTTCGTAGTTCAGATCGAGTTCTATCGTATTTATTATTTATTTGAACACATAAATATTGGAACAAGAGGGCACCAAATATATATGCGCCACACAAAACAATGAGAATTCGAAGAGGAAAAAAACAATAACGAACAGATTAGTGTAAGGTAGTGTAATAATAACAATAACAATAATAATGGAGAAACGGAAAGGTACAACCAAAAGGAATCTTTCAGTTAAGGAAGATACAACCACTTTTTTAATGAAGAAAGTAGAAGAAGGGTACAGCAGGATCGCCACTGGCTTCTATTCTGCACCATATCTGGTAACGTCTCTAGCCACTGTGTCGCACCATCTCTAGGACCCCAGCCAGGGAGTCGTGAAGGACCAACATAAGCCAACCCTTTGCAGCTTTCTTTCATACACTGACCACCTCTCCGCTTCTTCCAACCAGTCCCAGAGTCGGCAAATAATGCACGACGTGGAATTCTCTGGGACGACATTCAGAGAACATGTCCAAGCCTCCGGAGTCGGTGTTTCAAGATGGTGACACCAATTTAATTATCATCTCTGTGCCCGAACACACGATGCCGAACCTCTGCATTACTGACATGGTGTTGCCACTGGATGTCAGCAATCCTTCGGAGACAATGATGATCAAACACAGAGTCGTCTAACATCCTCAACTCGGAGAGGCCAGGTTTCACAAGCATAGAGCAGAACTGCTCTCACCGACGCGTTGTAGATCCGACCTTTTACAGCCAGACTAACATCACGAAGGCGCCAAAGATGGCCCAAATTAGCATAAGCCGCTCTGCCTTTCACTATACGTGAATTGATCTCACCAATCACACCACCACCAGCACTTATGCAACTACCTAGATACACGAACTTCTCGACTACTCCTATCTGCTCACCATCCAGGGTGAGTACAGGATTAGGATCCTGCCGGTCTTGTAGAAGTACTTTGCACTTCGAAGGTGCAAAGCACATACCATGCCTACGGACACTGATTGCCAACTGATCAAGTGCGGATTGCATGCCTTGGGCATTATCTCACAGTAAGATAATATCATACGCACACTCAAGGTCGAGAAGTCTTTCTCCAGGTAACAGGTCCACACCGCCATTAATTACATCCATCAGAGCTGTTTCCAGAATGTCATCGATGGCAAAGTTGAAGAGGAATGGTGAGATTGGGCAATTCTGCCTAACCCCACTGCTCGAATGGAACAATGGAGAGAGGTGGTTGTATGCCCTCACTCTGCCTGAGGTGTTTGTATATAGGGCCTTTAAGATGTTAATAAACTTCTCAGGCACACTCTTCTTCAATAGACAATCCCAGAGAACAGTCCTGTCCAACGAATCGAAGGCAGCCTTGATGTCAAGAAATACTACGATTGTTGGCCTTTGATAAGTATGACGGTATTCTAACATTTGGCGGAAGGTGAAGATATGATCAAAACATCCTCGACCAGAACGAAACCCAGCCTGCTCCTCGCGAGTCAACCTTTCTCGGTTTTTGAACAATCTACAAAGTATGACAGAAGCCAATAGCTTGGACGCAATCGGAAGTAGACTTATCCCCCGATAGTTGTTACAGGAACGAAGTGAACCCTTTTTAAAGATAGGGACAACTATCGACTCATTCCATGACGTTGGTACACTCTCTAGTTCCCAGACCTTTGTAAACAACGTCCTCAGTTTTTAGCCAGAAAGTCACTACCATCTTTAAAAAGAGCCGGAGGTAAGTCATCTGGGCCCGGTGATTTGTAGCGTTTCAAGAGTTGGAGTTCCTTGCGGACTTCCGCCTCGTTTTGTGGATCAGTCGTCACCGGCCATGGAGGGCAGAACGGTCCGACCGATGTTCCTGGAGCAGCAGGCCAGTTGAACTGCCCTTCGAAGAATTCTACCCATCGTCCAAGACGTCGATGGATGTAAGTGATTGGCATCCCATCATCCTCACAGATTGTTTCACTCACACCAGACTTCTTGCTGCCAGTGGCTCGGATGAATTGGAAGAGCTTCCGGTAGTTACCAGATGCAGCTGCTACTTCCAGCTCACTAGCACGCTCCGTCCACCAGGCTTCTTGGTCCTTACGCAAGCTTTGCCCGATTTGATTACGTAACACCCTTCGTTTGTGGTCAAACTCACAGTCACCCGGAGTAGACCGACGGGCTTCGATGAGTTGTAAGGAGCCTGACGAAACCCAGTACTTATAATCGGGACGTTTCGCGAACCCACAACTGCAATTGCAATCACTGCTGACCCATGCTTTTCGGTGGAATGGTAGCTAACCTAGAAGCTAGCTCGATTTGATACTTACTTGCAACAGAAGTTGCAACCAAGTTGCTGACATCAATCCTTTGGTGGCGGCCACTTCGTTTGGCCACTGAAAAGTAAGGTAAGATTGGCGCAGACCAAGGCATGGTCAGAGTCCAGATAGGTACTCCAGAAGGAACGGCAGTCTTGTACACAACCACGCCAGCGGTAGCTGATCGCGATGTGATCAATCTGAGTCCAGGCTTGGGATGCTGAGGGAGGACGCCAGGTGGCGCATCGGCGATGACTGTGCCGAAAGTTAGTCCTAGCCAAACACATATTGTGGTCTGTGCACAGTTGCAGTAGACGGTCCCCGTTATCTGACCTGCGACTAACGAGTCCCCATCGGCCACCTAAACGACTTTTCTGTGTCTAGACGCTCGACCCGAGCATTCAAGTTTTCGGCTAGTACTATAATATCTGTCGAACACACTTTCTGGAGAAGAACAGTTAACTGGTGGTAAAATTCATCCTTGATTGCAGCTGGGCTGCAATCTGTCGGGGCATAGGCGGAGATGACGAAAAAACATCGTTTCTCACGCCGATTTCTTCTCATTTTGATAGAACTCTCTAATCTAACAGCACATAACCGACTGTTAATGGGGATCCAATCGATTAATGCTGCCTCAGCTCTAGCGCTTAGTGCGACACCAACGCCAGGAAGACCAGACGAAGATGCCACAGGGTCCTTGGATAAACGCACGTAAAACAAGCTTTTCGAAGCGACAGATGGAGAGCGAATTTGTAGTACTTCACTAAAGTCTTGAATACGGGTCTCGGATAGACAGCAAACGTCGATATTAATACTTTCCAAAGACATAGCCAGCCCTATCTGTTGTCCGACCTGCATAAGTGTGCGAACGTTGAAGGCAGCCAGTTCGAATGGTGCACGTGGTTTCAGGAAAACTGCTTCAGTACTCATATTCGGTGGTAACATACAATTTTCAACCGGACAGTGACTCGAGAACGTTTAGATAGAACCGAGTTTCCACCATAGGCGAGCTACTGTATAAGTCGAAAAGTAAAGATAGACAGAGTGGGAATAAAAGAGAGTGAATAAATGACGTAGTAAATAATAATAATAATAATAATAATAATAATAATAATAATAATAATAATAATAATGATAATAATAATAATAATAAGTATATTAATAATAATAACGATAATAATAATAATGTGAATCGTTTGATTGTTGATCGAAGCAAGACAAGTATTTTCCATAGATCTCGACATTTCATCATATCTGTGTGTGGGCTGTGATACTGCCCAGGTGCCCAGACCGAAGCAGGTGGTTTTCTCAGGGGGCCACACCCGGAGCCTTTGACCTGAAGGTCTGACCCACAAGGCAGTGGAGCATCGTGAGGAGATGCAGTCCCATGGTAGCCGGTGACCAATAATTGGTTCATACTCCATTTGTTTCCGCAGGATACTGGAGTCCATATGCACCATTGGTTTGGGATCCGGTTAAAGCGCCGTACATTCGCTTTTCGTCCCCTCATTTTCGTAAACAACTCCTACGTCACGAGAAGGCAGTGAGTAGGACTTCCCTGACAGAGGCTGTATACGCGTGGCCATGTGAGAGCATTTCGAGAGGGAAGGCGGGCCCACCCCATTCTCGGCCATACCAGGGCATTTGGGGGCGGATAAATCTTTTGCCTTTTACTAAAGAGTTCTATCGACCAAGTTGCAATGCGTCTACTAGCCTAGGTGACTTGACATTTCGTGGATTATGTTGAGATACGATGATGTTTGGAGGTGGTCGACAGAAAACCCTGGATCTAGGTTTCGTGCTATTTGGCACTCATCAGCAAGATGTACCTGTAATATATATATATATATATATATATATATATATATATAGCTAGATGCTACTGAAAAATTTGAATCGGATGACGCAAGTATGAACACTAAGGCCATAGATAGAGATGTGTTTGACAACCAAAATAAATCGGAATATCATCTGAATACATTGATTTTTATATGACTTACACTGATCACTAGTCATATTTAAATACATTAGACCGAGTGAGGCTTTTCATTGATTAATCAATATCAAATAGAAATTTAAAGCATAATTGTCAACCCGAAGAATTTAGGAAGATAAGGAAGAGAAAACAAACTTGGTTCATTGTCTTTGATACGCATCCATATTATATTATTTATTTTTTTAACACGTGTTTGTTTTCTCTCCTTTTTACCTTGGTATATTTTTTAATTTAATCATTAATTTACTGAATAATCATTAATATACAATATCATAAATCTCACTCAAAACAATTCCTTACTCATCATATCGAGTGACTATTATGATTTTTTCACTTAGATTTGGGATTAAATAAAGAAGCTGATTATCTATTCTCATTTGAATTAGACACTAATACACTTTCGTTAGAATTATTGAATAAAGATTTAGATACTCCAGATTTTAATTGGACAGATTTATTACCCGACTCCAATGAATTAGTATCTCTGGACGATATTAATCCTGGTAATTTTTCAAAATCTAAACAAAATAAAAATGAGAAAGTGAAGTTTACCAATTGTCAAAGAAAATCTTTGATGAATCATTTTAATCCAATACCAAAGTTTTCATATCAAGAGAAAACTATTCAACAACAAGAACTTTTATATTCATCATCATCAGCTCATAGTTCTTCAAGTTCTGTCAATAACCATCATCATTGTCATCAATTGTTGAATTCAACGGAAATTAATAATGAGTGTGATATGAATGATTCTTATAAAACTAATAAAATAATTTGTCTAAATAATGAAGATTTACTAAATGGTAAACCTGTGAGTATTCGAGTTTGTTCGTTTGTTTGTTTTATTTCTCATTCAGTGTTTAATTTTCTTTTCATATGAGCAGAAATACAATAAGTTTGTCAGTCATAAACAGTTCAGAAACAGGTACGAATATGCATGGATATAAGTCGTTGTACTTGGGATTAGTGCAATCAGATTTTTATTAAGAACATAAATAGCAAATTAGTCAAAATCGTAGTACTATCAGGAACAGGATGAAAGGTTAAATACTAAAAATGTGATTAAAAATAAGGAATGGATTTGTTGAATATAAAGTATAAAATTATGTTAGGACTAAAGGTCTCTAACAAAACAAATAGTGCACCTTTGTCATTGTTACTGATTACGAGCCATGTAACTTTTCTCCAACTTCTGGTCAATGTTATAACAAGGACTTCAACCAGGTAATGTTCATCTGATAGCATAGGTTAGACCAACAGTTAATTATTTCATGGACGAATACAAAGTCTTGGTTTGACTACTGCCAGTTTTATTACAATCTGCTCGTGAACCAGCCATCATTCCATTGTAAGGCAGATAGTGGTTCGTAAAGCGTAACACATATCTTACTGGGTTTTTTTCTATCAATATGTGAGGCAATACGATTTGATTAAATTTTTAATAATGTTACTTGGCTAAGCCCTGTATCATTTTGTCTTTTTGCAGTTCCAAGCTAATGGAACTTGTCGCAACGCTAATTCCATTTCCAAGTAGACATTTCAACTCTTATTTTCTCTTAATCTGAGTTATGTTATTACTTCGAATCTATTTAGACTCTTTTAAGTTGATTATCTTCGTAGGTTTAATTCCACTACTAATACTATCAGTTCAGCAAACACTGCACATTAGAATAATCCGTTGAAGTGTATGCGTAGCACATTCATCAGTCTTATCAGTCGGCATAGATTCACGACCTTGTTAAATGTTTTGTTTCTCTAATATTAGTCACTCGTTTGTTCTATCACTTGCTACGAACGATTTCTTAAATAACTCATTTTGTTGTCAACTTGGCTATCATTTGACCTATTGCGTAGTTATTTATGACAATTCTTATCCCTACTTATTCATTTCACAGGGAGAATGCGTTAAATTAACTTCAGAAGAATATAAAATGCTCCAAAGAATCGGTTGTCAACTACCTATCAAATTTCCATTAAGTCAAACTAATGAAAAAGCAATACGTACTGTCAGACGAAAAATTCGTAATAAACTCTCTGCTCAAGCTAGTCGTGCCAAACGTCAAAGGTATGTAATTGACTTGGAACGTCGGTATTCTATGTGTACTGAAGAAATCAAACAATTACGTCGACAAGTATATGAATTGGAGGAAGATAAACGGTAATTCTTTTAAATAATCAATTAATATGTGTTAGTATAGGGAGTTTTCGGATATCACTTAATTTTATGGTTCACATTATGTTCTGACCTTGGTTAGACAACCACCGAAAAAAGAGCTGTAAATAGCCATTCTGTCGTAGCATAATCCTCCGCATTGCGCATCCACGACCATACTACACATCTGACTCAGGACCTACAGTTTTACCGGCGAACCACTGAGCAGGTGATGTAGTACGACGATTGTGAACTGGTTGAATTTTCAGTTTCATCTCATTAAACTCTAATAGTCAAGCGCTCACCGTGAAACTTGTGTGTCCTAATTGTGCATTATTGAAAAGTTTCATACTAGAACGAAACAGTTGTCCGGTGCTCTCTGATTTTGACTGGTTGTCTAACTAAGGTCAGTCGGTGATGTAATCAATACGTATGCTTCAAACTATTTGCCCATTTAATTTTTTTGACACCTCTCTGGAGATACAATGTCCAGAAAACAGGCCTACCAGTCAAGTCGTAATTGATTAGAGAATGAATGACCTAAAAGCTAATGTCCTCCGATCACCCATGGCATTTCATCATGTTTATTTTGTGTTCTTTTTTTCATATAAGCGTGTTATTTTATTGGATGAAAAAAGCTGTTTATCTGGCTAGTAGTAGTCTTGTCTTTGATTTATAATTATTCGGGGACGTAAGTCAATAGTGCGATCTCGTCAGTAGCCATCATTCATCACATTATATTATTGTGTTCATCTATCGATTAGCATTTTATACATTGATTTTAACAATCGAAAGTTTCTTCTAGTCGAATCACAAAAAACCTCCATAACGTTGGGTCATTTTGTGTGACGTTCAATTGATTTAAAATCTATTGTGTTATTAAAAAACATAACTATAGGCAGAAGAAAAGTATGTTTATTGCGAGAAGCTACAAAATATTTACATAATACATATACGTCCCGACCGAAGCTGCTACCTTGACGCGGTGGTCGGGCTTGCCTATCGTGATGACCCAACCGAGCTATATTGGCTGGAACATATGTTCCTATAGGTTCTACCATGCCAGGCAGGTCGATCGGAGAACGGTAAGACTAAACGCAGCAACTCAAGGTCTGAGGGCGAAGTCGTACTGCTGACTGTAGAGGGGACAGTCAGTAATTAACAGCGTAGAACTTCGTACATACGTACATCAGTTCGAGTTGCCACACCACCTTAGCACAGAGATGCAGTTGTCGATTCAAATCCCGTAGTGGTAGAGGTAACAAGAGCATAAGCAGTAATCGGGAAGATTAGGGTTTGGAGATGTTATTTAAAGAGTATAATCCAGTGAAATAAATTTGGAAAGATAAAAAAGAAAGGGACATGAAGAATTCAGAAGATTAGAATTTGGGAGAACACAAAGAGTGGATGCACCTGCGCACACCATTGCAAACGATTTTGAGCCATGCCATTCAGGGTCTCCAACCATCGGTTGCTATCATCTCGCGGTCCCCAACCAGGTAGTCTACACCTGCCAACATGACTCAGTCCACTTGTCAGTGACTTCATGGACTTGTGCCATGTTTTGGTTTGGCCGCCTCTAGCTTTCTTCCAACCTACTCCTATACCACTGAACATAGCACGTCGAGGCAGTCGGTCGTTGGGCATATGTAACACGTGTCCCAGCCATCTCAACTGATGAAGTTTCACTACTTCATCAATTGATTTGGCATCCTTACCTAGTACCCGTTTCCTAACAACTGTGTTACTTACTCGATGGTCCCATGATATACGAGCAATGTTTCGAAGACACCTATGATCGAATACTAGTAACCTACGAATATCCTCTACTCTTACCGGCCATGTTTCAATGCCGTAAAGTAGGACGGAACGAACTGCTGAGATTTCGTCACACACCAGACCACAAGGGCTGATGAGACTTCCAAGATAAGTGAGGCGATCGACACGCTCAACTACTTCATTCCCTATCATTAGTTCGGGTGTCGATGCAACCCAATCCTGAAGCAACATTTTGCATTTCAAGGGGGAGAATCGCATCCCGAACATGCTTGTATTGTTGCTCAGAGTGGTCATAAGACTCTGCATTTTGTCAGCGTCTTCGCCAAATAAAACTATGTCATCAGCATATTCTAAGTCAACAAGTGAATCTCCTGGTAGAAGTTCAACCCCTGTAAAGTCAGATGAGGAAAATGTTATCTCTAAAAGTACGTCGACGACAAAGTTGAACAAGAATAGAGAGAGTGGGCAGCCCTGATGAACACTTGAGGTAATCAATTCTGATGACAGATCGCCATAAGCTCTCACTCGACCAGTTGTGTTCCAGTAGAGAGCCTTTATAAGGTTAATGTACTTCTTTGGTACTCCTTTCAATGACAAACACTGCCATAGAACCTCACGATCAACAGAGTCGAATGCCGCCTTAAGGTCGAGAGATACTACGATTGTGGGGCGTCTGAATGTATGTCTGTGTTCTAGAACCTGACGTAGTGTGAATATGTGGTCTATACAACCACGTCCAGGTCGAAAACCGGCCTGATTTCCTCTAGTCTGCTCTTCACGAGCTTTAGTTAGGCGTCGAAGTATTATTGAAGCTAATATTTTAGATACTATATTTGTCAAACTGATTCCTCTGTGATTGTCACAAGAGGACTTTTGTCCTTTCTTATAGACTGGCACCATCAGTGATTGAGACCAGTCAGATGGGATTACGTCCAGTTACCTAATTCTACCTAAGACCTCAGTTAATCTCATTGCTAATACTGGACCACCATCCTTAAAAATCTCAGGAGTAAACCTGTCAGGGCCTGCTGCTCTCCCTCGCTTCAGATTTCCTATGGCTTTTTCAACTTCGTAAAGGGACGGAGGACCTACATTAGCTTGCCATTCAGGTTGACTAGAGATCGTGGGAAACCGAAGTGTGGCTGAAGGCCAGTTGAACTGATCCCTAAAGTATTCTGCCTATCGATCCAATCTCCTGGATTGAGAATGAATAATATGTCCATCTTTCTCTGAGATTGTTTCGCTAACGGTCGGGTTCGTAATTCCGGTTTCCTTAACGAGTCTGAACAATTGTCTGCTATTACATATTGCCGCTGCCTTTTCCATCTCTCTTGCTTTTGCTACCCACCACTGTTCGCGATCATTGCGTAGACTTCTTTTCAGCTTGTGCTTAAGCTGACTCTGCTCTTCATTATGTTCAGAGTCAGGTGGAATGAGTTTCCGAGCATCTATCAGTGCGATAGATGCTGAGATCCAGTGTTTCTCCCTAACCTTGTGGTTTACCTTACTAGCAGATATCACTGCTGTTTCCACAGCTTTTCGGATATCATTCCATGCTGCCTCGAGGTGGGCATCACATACATGGCTACCTAACTGTTTTCCTAGTTGTTCCTGAAATATACTCTCAGCTTGACTATCATTAAGTAGGACCCTAAGAGGTTTCCTGGCAGCGTCTTTCCTACGTCCAGTAAGACGCAGGCAAATACGCGCTCGTACTAGAGCATGATCTGAATCTAAGCATGTCCAACGTTGGGACGAATTAGGGGGTCGCCATGTTAAAAGATGTTTTTCCTTATGCTTAAAGTTAGTATTTGCAAGGAACAGGCGGTTATCTGAGCATAGCTGCAACAGACGGTCGCCATTATCTGTTCGTTGAGCCACGATGTTATTAGACCCACCCAGGTGTCTTTCCCTATCGCTTAGTTTACGTACTTGAGCATCAAAGTCACCAGCCACTATTACTACATCAGTGCGCCCAGCTTTTCGGAGAAGGTCCGAGAGCTTTCTGTAAAACTCATCTTTTACATCATCTGAGCTGCAGTCAGTGGGAGAATAGGCAGAGACGACGAAGAGGCAACGACGAGTGTCCCTATCTTTCCGGATTCTTACTATTCCGTTCAGTCGGACAGCGCACAAACGGCAGTCTATTGGGATCCACTCTAAGAGAGCTAATTCTGCCCTAGAACTCAATGCTATACCTACACCGGCGAGGCCACGGGAAGCAGAATCAGGGCTTCCAGATACAAGAAGTGTGAATCGAGTCGGTTCTTTATTTTGGCATGGTGAGGTCAAATGAATGACGCTACTGCTGTCACACCTCTCTACAGTCAGCAGTACGCCTTCTCCCTCAGACCTTGAGTTGCTGCGTTTAGTCTTACCGTTCTCCGATCGACCTGCCTGGCATGGTAGAACCTAGAGGAACATGTGTTCCAGCCAATATAGCTCGGTTGGGTCATCACGATAGGCAAGCCCGACCACCGCGTCAAGGTAGCAGCTTCGGTCGGGCCAACAATGCGTAATTATAACAGTGTTATAATTATCTACTTCAGAAATTTCATACAACATTCTTGTATCTATTAACCATAATTGGTAGTAATAAATTTTGATCAAGGTGAAATTAAAACATTCTGGTTCAAGATAACAAATCACTAGTTAATTAAAAAATTAAAATGACTGAAATAATTCTATTAGGTGCTATATAATTGTTTACCATCAATCATAACTATCATACTACACAATCTATTCTACTAGTTGAGATTTTTTCAAATCGATTGTGAACATGTTGATCACAAATGCTGTTAGGAACATAAAAGCGGTTGTTACTATGCAGTCGCTTAAGCAGTGGAAAAGTATTTCTTATTGAATTACCTATTATAGAAACTTTGTTAAAAATGGTCTTAAAAATCTGGAGAAATGATTATAATGCTTAAATATCAACTGCTTACGGTTTATTACAAATGGTCTGTTTGTGAGTAGTTTTAGATGACATTATTTCATACATACAGAAAAATTCAAATTGATTTGAGGTATATTATATTTAAAACTAATCTATTCTAACCCCATAATTCTGTTGTTAAAAGACAACAAAGCTACAAATGTTAGTTGTTATGGAAAAACTTATTACTATGATCACAACTCTGAACAATCAGAATTTCCACTTTGTTCTCTAATTATATATTTGTTCCTTTTTATCTTAGTGTTCTTTATCTAAGCTACCTATCATGATAGAGTATAAAGAAACAAGTATCGCATCTTGCTTAAATACAAAAAGCTGGTTACATAACTAAGCTTTCAACATCAATTTTTCTATCCCTTTTTATTATCTACCTTAAAGTTTAGAATTTATCTGAAGAGAATGAGTTTGATGAATCATTGGAATCTTATTTGAATATTAAGTAATATATATATATATATATATATATATATATATATCAACAAGATATTTGTTTTTTTTCTTTTTGTAAAAAGAGATTAAATGAGTTAAAAAATCTGTTTTCTTATAAAAACAAAAACCATCATTAACTACTACAAATAAATAAGTAGATTTTGCAGTAAGGTGTTTCCCTCGGACAACCAGCATCTGCAGCGATGCTTCCTTCCCACAAGGAGGGGTGGGGTTAGAAAAGTTCGACCCTAAAAATGTCACACCTCACCTTACCTCACGGATTTCCGTCTCCGGCGGTAATGCCCTTTGAAGAACGGAGCTAACACATCAAAAACCTTCCACGAAAAGGCCGTGCGCGACCGGCCTCAAGCAGTTGTCCCTTGTGCTCTGCGGTCACGCTCCCAGGTCGTTAAGACCAACACTAATCCGACTTCTTTTTGAGGTTCCTCAAGAAATACCCTTCCACTGTGTGGGCAGCCGGGAAGTGATATCAGCCCTCATACCCGTAACAGCGCACGAATACATATACGTAGTCTTCAATCTTCCATTTGTATCTTGTGTTGTGTTCTGCCATCTGAACTGCTTTCTCGTCTGGTTTCCAAGTGTCATGCAAACGCCGTTCTTCCTATGTACTAAAATTCTTCACAACTGTTGCAATTTCGACGACACGTTCAACTACACATTATCTACAAACATTCATGTGATTAGCATCCACTACGTTATTACTATTCTTCACTATTTTTTTTACAAAATATCTAACTAGTGTTTCAGATTAGAAAGATTAATTGTATGTATGTTTTTTAAGCTAACAACCACTTATGATTGAATTGGTTATTCACTGTAAAGTAGTGCTTTGTCGTTTGATAAGTTGTACAGTGAATGTGTTATCAATGTAGTAAACTAAACATGATAGACCATTTAAATTCATTTGGGCCTTTTATTTCACTACATCTGTTTCATTTTTTCCAGTTTTACATTACTTCTCATAATCCTGTTTATTTAGAATTGTAATTGTAATCGCTAGTAAGACTGTATGAAAAATGATTAGACTAAAAATGTTAACTCATCTTAAATAGTACCCAAACATTTAGAAAATATCTGTCTTTAAAACTAACTTAACATATCAGAAGTTGGCACCCACTGTTTGAAAAATCTCCTAGCCAGTTTAACGCATATATATGATTTAGATGGACTTTATCTAGAGTATAATCAAGGGATAAGTTTTGTCACCAACGGAATGGCTTCACCAAGGTACATTCGTTGTGATATTTCAATGCTAGCTGGACACTTGGATGTGTAGGTTTGGCGTCTAGACACAGTGAAGCATCATTTGACTGACCGATGTGGGTATTTTTGGTTAGATAACAGAGGATATGTTCTGTAGCCTTGTAGAGAATAAAGAAATGTTTCTAGATAGCATTAAGTTTTGATGCAACCTGGAGATATCTCTCTGAAATTCAGACTTAGATCCAAATAAATCTTAAAGAATTGAACAATCATCGAAATGTAAGCCTACTATCACTTGACTATGAAGTATTGTCTGGGCTATGCTACGTAAATTATTCAAAATGTACATAAACAAATGATTCACAAGATATAGAGCAGGTTTTTTCAGGTTGTAAGTGTAGATTGATCCGTTAAGTACTTAAATCCAGTCACAAGTAATCTATGCCGAAAAGATATTGCTTGAGCATAATAAAAGCTGATAGTCAAGCATCCACTCCGGGGACCTAAGTAACAACAGTGACCCTGATCTCTTCCCCTAAGACTAGGTGGAAAAAATAAGGCGGTGATCAATTTGATGTGTGCCATAAATCTGCGCAATACAAAGTAGTTATGTTGGGTTATAGACTCCGTCGAATTTAGAATTTCAGACTTTAGGGGAGACAAAGGACGGATGCACCTGCACCATTGCAAACTATTTTGAGTCATATCATTCATAGTCTCTAACTATCGGTTACGATATTCACGCCTACCCCAATCAAGTAGTTTACAGCTATGAATATGGCTAAGTCCAATTGTCAACGACTTCAGAAATTAATGTCATGTTTTGGTTTGACCGCCCCTAACTTTCTTCCAACCTGCTCCTACACCAGAAAACATAGCCAGTCAAGACAGGCAGTGGTTGGACATACGTAACACATTTCCCAACCACCTCAGTTGATGAAGATTTACTACCTTATCAATCGAATTCCCACCTTTACTTAGTACTTTATTCCTAACTCAGGCATTGCTTACTGTATGGTCCCAAAATGCACGAGCAATGCTTCGTGGACACCTATAGAGTGTTATTCCTCAAAGCATATCTGTAGCGAAGTTAAATAAAAATGGGGAAAGCGGACAACTCTGTCGAACACCACTTGAAGTAACTGATTCCGATGAAAGTTTACCATAAAATCTGAATCGACTAGTAGTGTTCGAGTAGAGAGAGTCTGTACAAAGTTGATGTACATGTTTTGTACACCTTTGAATGAAAAACACTGCCACAAAACCTGAAAATCAACGGAGTCAAACACCACCTTAAGGTCAAGGATTACAGCTATAATCGGACGTCGAAAAATATCTCTATGTTTCAAAACCTGCCGAATGGTGAATATTATGTGTGTATATATAAACTCTCAAACTAATTTCTCCCTAAATTTTTATCTCATATTCATTCGTGACAATTTTTCCTGTGCAACATTTATCTGAAATTATCTAACAGAAAATTTCCATCCAGTCATAGTTTTATCATCTTCACCAGCATATAATCGGTTTTATTTAATGATTGTTTACCTTTCTTTTTACGTTTTCGATCCATAAAGCAAATCATAGTTATAAATACAAACACATTTGTCAAACACTACTTAATTTCTGTTCTTTTTTCTCATATTTCCACTTGACAAACAGTCGATAAAATTAATGCAGTGCACATATTGTTAAGTCACTTAGACTAGTGGGCAGATTGCAACTTGATCGATAGAATCTGACCAACCCTAAAGGACTAGACAAGCATGATATTAATCACCACTCACTTCTACATACCTATGCATAAAATTGTGATGATTGGTGATTGAAAGTAGTCGACAGGATCTCTTACTTCATCTAGGTTTCATGCTAGTTGAGGCTTGTAAGCAAATGTTTTTATTAAGTGCAATAATTCTGATCAATTCAATTATGAGATTTATTTACTTTTAAAGGTAATTTATTATCATGAACTGATATCAAATAATGAAAACACATGAAAAACCTGAAATTATTGAATAACCTCTGTTGTCATTCGAATTTAAGACCATTCTTTCCGTATACTTAGTTTTATATTTGAATGTTGCTAATGGATAAAATGGTTCTTTTCTACTGCTTAAATTGTTGTAGACGTAATAAATTTGTAATTTAGTGATTGACTGTATTGACTATCGGAGAAGGAGGCAAGGGAATAGAAACTATACAAGTCAAGCAGTTCTTTTTTCATGTGAATCAGTTTATGTATTTTTATATACATATTTCTCAAACATATAATTGGTTTATGATACAATTCTACAGCCTTAGTTCTAAGCATTGTTTTGCGACCCTTCATTCTTAATATTTCTCTTAGTACTGTCCACAAATTGCAGTTAATCAGATATGAGTGAATTGCTCATATTCGTGTAGTGTTTGATGCATACCTACATATTTTGATTCATTAATAGCATATCCCATAGCTTGGAATCTAAGTATGTAATCACTTTTTGAATACTTAGTGTACTCTAGAGCAAATATTGCTCATCGGAAGAACGTATCCAAGGTCGATGAAAGTCAAAAGACTCTCTTCACCCATCGAAATATTTATATATGAACATATATAAATAGTAAATAGTTCTACAATAAATAATGGTTAGTTTAGGTTACAAAGAACACATTCAAAGTGATAAACTCAGCAGAAACAGTCTACTCTTGGCTCTGACAATTCAGTACATCCGAACGGGTAAAGTTTATCAACCAATAAGAGAACAATCAGTTTATAATTAACCGAAGAAATCAGACTAGTTACTCATGAATAGTAGTCATAATAAACGAATCACACCACCATCCATTTAACTTTAAGATGTTCTGATTAATAAATTTTGTAATGTATAAATTACTTATATTTGAAGCTGTCGACCCTGACGTTTACGGTAATCGGCTCAATGGAATTGTTAATTATATAAGTGTGACATTGCAACACTTAAGCATTTTATTTTACAACTGGTTATTTAATGTAATTTTTGCGTTTGTTTTTGCTTTTCTCTACTTTATATCAGGAGTCTTACAATACATCTACGCAAATTACGGTCTTATATCAATAAATTCATGAATAAACGAAGTGAAAAGTCCTATTTACCACTATTCATAAACTCCAACAGTACTGAATTTAATCATAATAATAATAATAATAATAATAATAATAATAATAATAATAATAATAATAATAATAATAAGGTGACTGCTAAACAAGCCGCTAAAGCGGCAGCCGGTGGGACTAGTCTCTTGTTAATGACGTTTATGATATTGATGTGGACTGCTGTAGTTCCAATACCGTCGGTCATAAAAACGTTAGATACTGCATCATCGATGTCTACAAGAAATTTTTTCAGTTCATTTCCAGGTTAGCATTCAATTTTATTATGTGTGCATATTTGTGTGTTTTTTGTCTTGTCTATTCGTAATGTATCTTCATTACCTATTGTCTCATCTGTTTTGAGATAAATGTGAAGTGATCAATGATGATTAGCTATTGAGTCACCAGCTTGAACTTAAGTTGCTTCATTCAATTCGGATTTAAATTGTCGGTTAGTATCAATTACTCGCAAACCAATTATGTGTATAAATATATTTACAACAGCCTTAATAATGAGGTCAAAACCAGTAGTATATTAAAGAATTAACAAAACTAGCGAAGAAAAATGTTTTAGAAGTTGGCCGCTAGGGTGAAGTACGCATAGTGTGAGAACATATGGTTGTGAGAAACCCCTCAATATAATACAAACAAATTACCAAAAAGTTATATGGTATAACTTGATTTTGTAAATTTCCTCGCTTCCCCAACTAAAAGCGCTTATTATATATGTATATATATTTGAAAGCTCGTAAACCTTTAACGTAGTAAAGTTTAGTCGGGTGGTTTTTAGGTCGGCTTCAATGTAAAACTGACAATAGCTAAAGCAAAACTAGAAAGTATTGAACATATGCTATTGTATCATATGCTCGGTACTTTTCAACAATTCATACCGAAGTCAACGGCTTTGTATGATACAATCAAAGTCATAACTTTCAGTACTTATAGCACCGACAATACTTCTTAGTTATCGAAACCCGTTAGATTCTACATTTTTAATTCTTATTAATTCGGTGATATATGATACGGCTTTCATTTAGTATCATTAGTACTCTTTACTGTCTCACTTATTAATTGGTTAACTTTGCAGATCTTGACACGCCACTACAATTCTGTGAGTGGAGAGGTGGCTCAGTGTTTAAGGCATTCAACTTTCAGTCACTAAGGTGTGATTCCGAATACCACTCCACCTACTTCGGTTTGCACAACCCGATAATATCACTCAGCCTTGACATCAGAGTGATTGAATGTAAATTATGCTAATTTGTACCTACTTTTCTTATTAAGGTGGCAGGTATATCATCTATGTAAACTTCCTTTTTGTTTGGAATGCTGTTGACAAGAAACGGAAGGAATTAATCGCTCAAGATTCTTTTGTGAGCCAAAAAGGATAAGTGTATTCATTACACTTTTATATATTCCATTGTATCGTAAAAAACAGCAAAAAAAACTATGGAATGTGGGAATACACGACTAATCCACCTTAACTTACTGAGAAAATTATATCTATTTACTTTCATAATTTGTTTCAATGTATGTGAATGATGATATCACATTCAAATCTATCCGTTAATCAGTTTATAAACAGCTAAATACACACATACATGAACTTTGGATAAGTTGAGCTTCACGTTCTCAAATAATCTCGACAGCAGATTAAGTTATCTAAGATTTATTGACACCTTCAATAAGTATTTTTCAGTTGTTTTTTTCTCCGAGAATAATAACTGATAATATACATGTATTTTTGTTGTTTTCTTTTAACCATCTAATTAGGTCGGTCTCGAATGTTGATGAGTATTAACAACCCTCCAGAATTGTATTCTTCCTCCTCCTCGTCTTCTCAAGACCTAATTCTTAATGAATCAAAAACAACTTTATCCAATCCGGATATTACACCTGAGAATACAATCCAATATATTGTTCCGATTAGTAAGTTTATTACACCAGTGGTAAGTGATTTTTTATTCGTGTTTATTATGTTTTGTTTCTTTTTTTTACGAGAAAATCATGAGTTTAATGTTTAATGCTACTTAAGAATTTGTCTTCGTCGTCTCTATTGTTTTGAAGTTATTCAATCATTGCGATAGTTAAGCCTGATAGTTGTATACTACACTGTATACAACTATGAAGTGGCGTAGAACCGTGATGAGGGAAAAAATATGGATAGCTTTTTGTACCGGTGTTTCCGAAGTTTTTAATGTATCTATGTAGCTGTTGTGTCTTGTTATTGAGGTTCAGTACGGCCTATGATGTTATGGATTTAGGAACAAAAACGATTGAGTTCCTCTAATACTATTGGTTCTCTTTGGAACTGACAACAATCAATTATACTCAACACATCAAACCTCGACGGTTAAGACAGGAAGAAGACGATATGCGGGTAACTTGACATTTGTGGTAGAACAAGCAACTCAAACAAAATTGGTACAAAAGTTGTTACTATATTAGCAGAATATGACCTTCGAGTATGTAGCAGCTTATCGGACTAAAAATACATGGCAACCAGTTAGAGGGCAAAGGTCATACTGAAAATCGAGTGGGCAGAAATTATCGTTCCACAACAGATCTTAGCCTTTCTAAGAAAATCTGACTATTCGTGCAACCGCCTTAGCAGTAGCGTAAGAATCACATAGCTAACGTTTTCATTAAGCGATAAATTTTAAGATCATCCGTTAATTTTTTAAATCGTTTATGAACTGCACAATGATTCAGAACTTTAATCAATTTGGAAATAAGGGCTATCATCATGAAATAATATTCTATGCACATTTCAATGTGATTGGCTTATATTCATGTATCGTTTATACATATTAAGTAGTTTAGTTTGTTAAGTATGTATTATATGTAAGACTATTTGCTTTTAACTGTTTTGCATTAATTATCAAGCAATTAAGTTTAAGTCTGGCCTATTCTATCTTAAATATTCTACAGTCTAAGTGATTATTACTTTCTTCATCATTTTCAAACTAGTTATTGTTAATTTTCACACTTACTTATACTGTTTATTACAGTGTTAGCAACTCTTGAATCGATTTTCCATATTTGTGCCAATTTTTAAAGCAAAATGTACTCTGCGTTCTAGTGTCAGAAAATTAGTGCATGTGATTTATTAAAGTCAGTAGACTAATGTTTGCTGGTGTGTGAGTAAGCTGGAAAAAAACTAGAGGAGAGAAAAACAAAACATAAGATCAATCCAGGAACTCATTGATTGTTGAACTAACCCTTGTCGATAGGTACAGACTATGCTTTATTGAGGTCCACTCGATTATCATAACCACTAATTGAAGATGTTTGATTGTGGTGGCATGTCTCAAAACTAATCTGAACGGTTCAGATGTATTCACTCTTTATCTTTCCTTACATCTTGAGTTTCAAAATTATCTTATACTTGATATTCATCAAATTAGTTTTTGCTTCAAGATCCATATTCTCTATGCCTTATGTTTTCATCCTTTACTGTCACTAATTCTGTTAGCAGTTCTACTATCCTGATGCGTTTGTCTTGATAATTTCATTATACTGTGTTGATGTAGTATGAACAAGTTGAACCGATCCGAATATTTATCAGATTCTATGTTGTTTATGACCTACTAACTAATATAAATCACTTCGTATTCATTAAATAATGTTTCATTTTATTTATTTTCATTTGAAAGATTACTGAACAATAATGAATAATCTATCAGAAATTAATTTACATTTATAACTAATATTTTTACACCACAATTATCCATATACAGTGCCCAAACCAAACACAGAATCAATATTCTCTAAACAGTAAATTTGACGTTAATAATAAATAATTCCAAAGAGAGAGAGAAAAAAGAGGAAAACAGTTGAATAGAATGAAGCAATCAATGATGCTTTCAAAAAAAAAGAATAAAGAAATAAAAAGATAAAGGAAAGATTGTCTTATCTCTTCTTCTCCATTAATTTCATTCTTATTTAATATTGTCATAGTGTAGTGAAGGAGAACACAGGTGAGGACAACCAAATTGTATTTAGCACAAAATTACAGAGTTACTTTGTAAAATAGAAAACCATTATAGTAAATCGTTAATTTGCAAAATATCATTCCATCATATCAAACCGGGCTGTTGCTGTTGCAAACATCAATCCATTGTCTCACATTTCATTGTTCATGCGATTTCTTACAAATTCCATTGTGTTCTCGCTCTTCCTTTCTTAATCTTCCCCATCTTCTGCTGCCAGACATTATGTTATTTTAACTCACGTTATATACTACTTATATCAATATAAGTAGCACGCACCACAATAGATTCCATTACCATTTACATCATGTATGTTTAAACAATAACAATAATTAATAATATTTTGATTTATATATAAATATGAAAAAAGTTATTTTCTTTTTTCTTGAAAATAAAAATACTTCAGTTCATTAATTCTATGTTGTTGTTCCGTTTTTTTCTTCTTTTGTTGTTGTTTCTCTTTTACTGTCATTAAAAATCAGTCAGTAAAACAGGACAATATTGATAGTGATTACCTTGAATATTATCTAAACGATGTAATTCATATTTTGAAAATAATTACAAAGTGCTTACTGATTTACAAGCATAATCAAGGTTAATAATAATAATAATAATAATAATAATAATAATAATAATAATAATAATAATAATAGAAATGGAACAATAAAAATGTATTATTTAAAAACAACTGATTCGTAGGATGTTTTTATTTGAATGTTTGTTACTCAATTTGTAATAATGTAAAACATACTATGTAGATGAAATGCATAATCTGAGGTAATATCATTTTGGTGTACAACATCATTATCGGAGTATATAATGTAATCAAAATCAATCTTGTAATTATAGATATGTCTGTAATCAAGAATGTAACATGGAAATATGTTCAATGGCATTGTCAGAACTTTATGAAAGTTTTGTAATGATAAATATCGCATACAGTGCGACAATCAGAAACTAGTATTTTCTTGATACAAGGACTGCTATGTCATGTTTGAAAAAGTGCGATTTAATGATGAATGATTCCAACTCTGTTAAATGGTACTTATAATCATCTACAATTAGAAGCAAAGTAAATGAAAATAAAAAACATGGAATAACAAGGAAAATTCTTGTGATAGGTCTATTGTCATTACGTTTTTGATTGTTTCATAAAATACAGATCTTGAACCAACCAACTGTTCTGTATATATCCTTACAAGAACGAAAGGTCTGTTATAGTTAGGATGAGGTCTGGAATTAACCAGGAATAATATAACCTTGTAATAAAATCAGCATGAAGGAAATTTTGACAAGTATGCTCCATAATAACAATTTCCACCTATTTAAAGTCCCTATGATTTCACTGATGAAGTGACACGTATTCTTCAATTTAAGGACTTTTAAGTTAGTATAAGAAAAGAGGAAATTATCGACATGTCATTCAGACGTTGGTAGGGAATTTGTTCCATGGATAAATTATAACAATTTATTCCAGATAGTCGCAAGTAAACTGGTCAGTTAATTTACACGAATATTTGTCAATGTTAGATCGAATAGCATAACGACAATTGGGCTCCGAGTATAGAGAAGTCATTATATGTAAAATTCACATTTGAAATATAACTCCGTTTCCTCCAGCAAACTTGTCTGGATTTCTTCAGGGTAATAATCAAAGGAATATATAGCGCTAATCCAGTCATATTTGGATCTTGACTTTAATAAGTAGGATAACATGAGTCAGTTAAAGGCGAATCATGCGAAAATAAATGACCGAACAAATTGTGTGTGCATGTATGCGTAAAATTGAATTATTAGTAGTTGATACTAAGTGTTAATTTGTTTGTATATGAAGGAAATATTAAAGTGCAAGTTGAAGGTTTAAAAATTGTTTCTGAATCGTCGATGTGAAAGTAAAATGCGAATTGTTAAATGCATAATTCTATTGCTAAATTGACCCACATTAATTTCAGTCAGAATAACGACGCATGTGAAATAAACAGGTTGGATAAAGAAAGGACCCAATTACTTGTTAACGAACATTTACCAAATAGTTGATGGTTGAATATTACCCTTTCTGTTCAGGTTGTTCTTATTTGCCCATAGATACAGCGCTTCTGCTGTCAATCTTTCTTTCTGAGTGTTAAAACCTTTCTGAAGTTGATCTCGTGTCCTGTTTCCAACGCATGTAACGCTATCACTGACATATTCTCAAATTCCTTCATATCAACCAAGGATTCGAGAACATTTTTCACACACTTTATGTGTCCCTTCGATCTTACATTAAATTGCCTTGAAGTTTCTCCCACATAATCTGCATCACATTCATGACCGTTAGTCTCATAAACAGTATTCTGTTGTTCCTCCTTCGGGAACCTATCCTAAACCTTCACTAATGCCCATCTTATGGTGTCACTAACCTGAAAATACACTCTTATATCATGCTTGTTTAGAATCCTTCTGATTTCTTCCAGTGTGTCACTACGGTATGGGGTGACCATGGTGAACTTTCGAAATACATTCTAGTTTAGCTATTCTTTCATTTCTAATCTTCTTTAGAAACATTTAGGTAGATATTATCCCCAAGTGTAGACAAACCTCTATTCAATTCAACTTGTGGTCTTCCTTATCTGTAACGAGCTTAATACTTCTGTTGATTAAGTTTTTAACAAGAGTGACTTTCGTACACAGCGCATAAGCCGAACCACAGTCTACTTATCTTTCAGAATGTGTTGATTTCCTGTATGCACTTATTTTCAATTTATTATTATGTCTTCGTTTAATCAAACAATCGAGAAACGCTAGTTTGTGGTCACTGGACTCTATTTCCTGTGTTAGCTTGATGCTCTCTGAAATGATGTTTACATCAAGCAATTCTTCCAAACCATTTCGTTTAATGATAGTAAAAATGTCCTCTACATGCCATAACCAGACTTCTGGTAGATGTGCACATCTTGTGATCGCATTGGTTTGTAGGGTATGCATGAATAAATTCACTACAATCGGAGAAACTAGTGAACCCATTGTTATACGTTCTATTTTTCTGTTCAGGACTAATGTGGATTGTAAACACAATTCCAAGCACTTAATAGCTTCGGATGGATCTGACGGACATCGTGAATTCAAATCTGAGTTAGATTCTAAACAATCATAAATAATATCCAATGCTCTGTTAGGTGCATTAATAAATAAGGAAGGTACATCAAAACTTCTCATCGTTTAATCCTCTTCTATATGGATGGTATCGATATTATAATTGAATTTAATAGTTTTTAGTTCTGTATATGAATGTATTATCACAGTATAGACTTGACCTGATTTGATTGTTAAACGCTATATATTTCTTTCACTATCACCCTGGAGAAGTCCAGACAAGTTAGGTGGACGAAACGTTGGAATCAGTTAAATTTCAATCGCTGAGATTATTTGAAATATATTATTTTACTTATTGTCAATTAATTGACGCATTCAGAATAAGAAACTTAGTATTGAGTTACGAATAGTATAACTCTCAAGACGCTGTGTTGCACTATCTTTCGGACCAAGCAATTATGATGAATTGACATGCGCTAGCCCTGAACAGCTTTCATTCTCTCAGGCACCATATCATAAAATGGCCATCAATTCGCCTTTTCCAACTAATCCCAGAGCTGGCTAACAAAACACGATGTGTGGGACGCTGTGGTGGTATTCGTAAAACATGTAAAAGCCACCAGAATTGATGTTCCCAGTTGTTAACGTCATATAAATTGTCATCACTATGACGCAATACACATTGTAGACCTGGATTCTTAATATGATGTCGCCAATGTATATCAGGAATCCTTCAAAAATAAAGATGATCGAACACAGAGAGTTGCCAAGCATCCTCAACTCGGAGAGGCTAGTTTTCACAAGCACAGAGCAAAGCTGCTCTAATCGGTTTATTGAAAACACAACCCTTTACAGCCAAACTAACATCATGATGTCGTGAATGATGGACTGGATTAACACAAACTCCTTTGACATTCATTAAACCAAGATTAATATAATCAGTCACACCACCACCAGTACTGACACAACCACTGAAATATCATGCGATTGGTTCCTTTTATGAATTTGAATAAAGCCGAAAAAAAACAATTGAAGTAGAAAATTTTGAACTTATCATATTTCATGGTTTTTCATCAGCTGCTTATAACCGTATATGCATTGGGATGTAGCATTAAGGTAAATCATAATATGTAAAAATTGACATTATTGACAGAAAGAATTAGAATAACACTGTTATTTTAATTCTTCCCATCACCACTGTCAGTTGTGCCACATTATATTTTACTTGAATGGTACATTTCAATACATAAATAGTTGTAACCACTTGACGAGAAGCTACTGAAATAGGCCGATTTTCTAAACTACTTCTAATGGCTCACTGCAAATAATGGGTTACAGCACACGCTTCTTTCAGTCATGCTGAACCGATTTTCTAAAGCCTTATCAACGGAACTAATCCTCAATTGTTTAGCAACCAGTAATATATGTTTTTCTAGTCAGCAGGGATTGAGCAATTTTGTCATATGCCACTTAGTTAAGTAATACATCATTGGAAATTGTATTTATCGCTTAATAATTAAAACCCAAAATTAGTATTGTTTCTTGTTCAGAAAAGCTCACAGTTTATTTTAATTGAACTCTGAATACAATGGTCATGAAGATGACGG